ACTAAGCCTATATATAGTAGTAAATTTAGCTTGCTCACAAAGTTAACAAATTTAGCTTGGAGACCAAGTCATCTGAGAGATGAGATCAAATAAGATTATCATGTGATGGATAATCACTTGATATTTTTAACAGAAATATCGGAGGTAGAAATTAAACGAGTTAAATGTTATGATACCATGGGAGGTTGGACGAGGGAACTAAAATAAATGGAATTCTAGTAAAATACAGTATGTAGTTTTCAGAGTATAATTTGATGTGAAAATTACTCGGAATGACCTATATTTATAGTGAAATAACTAGAATGATTCTGTTTGTAAATGGATAACTAGAATAACCCATATCTTTTGGAAAAAGACTATTTAACCTGTTTTGACTTAATATTAACAAAACTGCCATTTTAATTTATTTTTCAAATAAAAACGAAAATATTTATTAATTAAAATTAATTACCCTAAAATCAAAAACACAAATAACTCTAAATCGAAAACAACTTTTGACATTCTTTTTTTCTCCTTTCTCTCTTCTTCTCCGGCGATTTTCGTTTCTCTCCGGTGACCTTTCTTCCGACGTCTATGTCTCTTCTTCTCGGTGAGTTTCTGTCCGGCGTCTTCTCCTTTCCAGCGTCTCTGTTTCATCGGCCGAGTCTCGGCGAATCTTTGTATCTCTTCTCCTCTTCTCAGGAGTCTCTGTTTCTTCTTGGCAAATCTTTATCGGTCGAGTCGTCTTCTCTTCATCTCGGCAGATCGGTGTCTCTTCAGTCTTCTCTTCATCTCGGCAGATCGGTGTCTCTTCATCTTCCAGGTCAAGTTGTCTTCTCCTCTTCCAGTTCCGGTGAGTTTTTTGTATCACTTCTCCTCTTCGTGGAAGGTTTCCTGCAATTTATGGTTTTCTAATAAAATGTGTTGTAAAAACGTATTGCATGAAAGGTGTTCGATGAAATATCTCTCTTGATGGCAGACTTATTAATGTGATGAGGGTGGCAGATTTGTTTGCAGATTATTTTGTTGGTTTTGACAGATTTATTTTGAATGTCACTGTAGATTTGTTTGAATTGTTATAGCAGGTTAATGAATTTGCAGGTTTAGGTTTGAAAAATTGCAAGTTTCTTGTTCTTGGTTGCATGTTTTGTTAGATATTTGCCTCAAGTTTGTAAACAAGTTACCCGTTTGTGTTAGAGAATTAGCTTAGATTATGGTTTGAGAGTTCGCTTTCGCAGATTTGTTTGTTGTTTGATGGCAGATTTACTTGTTAGTGTTCACAAATTTGTTTGTAAGTGTTTACAGATTTATTTGTTGCTCATCGTAGATATATTGTTGGTCATCACAGATTTGTTTAGTGAATGAATTTGTATGTTTAGATTTGATAAATTGCAGGTTTCTTGTAATACGTTGTAGGTTTTGTTAGATAATTAGTTTAAGTTTGCAGGTTTATATTAGAGAATTAGCTTAAGTTTAGAGTTAGCTCACCGCAGATTTGTTTGTTGTTTGATGGCAGATTATTTGTTAGTGTTCGCATATTTATTTATTGTTTCACAGATTTGTTTGCTGGAGATTGGAAAGCTCAAAGTCGTGATTGTGTGTGCTTTTGGCCATGGTCGTGGTGTATTATTTCATCCTTATAAGAGAGTTTATGTTGTTATGAAAATGTATTCACTAAAGATTCACAATATGTTTTGAGTCATACATTGGATTTACTTGAGTTTGTATAGATCTTCTATTAAGCTTGGATTTAAGAATAAAAATTTATTAAGCTTGTATTGGGCTTAAAAGCTTGTATTGAACATATTGTATTGGTTTTAAGTGTTTGTATTGAACTTATTGATGTGTTATTGCAGATTTTATAACTTACCAAAAGGTGGGAAATTTTGGATCAATAGGTTCTCCTTTCTTATTACAAGTCTAACACCCCAAACCCAACAACTTGTGCAATACTAAGCTAACAAACAATAAGTGTGATCAAGAGCAAAGAGAAGAAGAAAAGAAAAAGAATAAAGAAAGAAAATAAAAGCATTTCATGTAAGGGTTTTTGAAAGCTCACTAGCATTGGAAGGGACAACAGTTGGGCAAGAAAAAGGTCTGGAAGTGAGCACTAGCAAGTCAAGAGTCCACATCAACTGACACAAATTTAATCAAAATTAAATGCAAGAAGTTATGAGCGTTAGTTAATAGCCAAGTGACTGCTGGAAATCTCTTCAAATTTGTGCCAAGTCATAAACATAAAACAATTTTGAGATAGCTTGTTGTAGGCAACATTTGGGGGTTCAATAGTAATATAATTGGGATGAATCATGGTGGAGTGGATCATGGTGCTACTGTCTCAGAATTCAACGGTGGGATTATGATTTCAACGGTTAGTTATTGGTTTCTTTGTATGTTTTAGCTACCTCAAATATGAGTTAAGTGTTAGAAAATAATTATTTTACCTATCAAATAAGTATGCGACGTCTTCAATAAGTCTGTGAATATAAATCTGCAAGTAAAAGTTTCAACAAGTCTGTAAATTATAAGTCTGTGTCTATTAAAAAATTAGTTTAGTCATGATTAAGTATGCGGCCACTTCGTCAAATATATTAGCGATGATGGAAAATAATTCTGTGACACATAATATATTTGCCATCAAAGAGGAAAAATCGGTGACCACTAGGAGTCAATCTAGTAATTATCTTTTGGTCAATAAAATATGCTGTAACTTACAGACTTAGCATAAGTAGGTAGTAACTATTAATAAATCTGCTACAACATGATTGATAATAAGTCTGTAAGAAAAACAAATCTGCAGAAATAAATCTGTGAAACAAAAGAAATCTGCGGTGTCATCAAACAAATCTGTAAAATAAGTCTGTGGTAGACATAAAATCTGTGACAGCCTATAAATCGGTAGTAACCTATGAAAAAATCTGTAGATTAAATCTGTGGTGGAAATAAATTTGTATAACAAATATGTGGTTCAAAAACAAATCTGCAAGAAAACAAGTCAGCGATAACTATATAATTAAATATGCGGCAGATTTATAACTTTGCGACAGATTTATAAAATCAATGGCAGATTTGTTCTACAGATTTATTTGAATTCGCAGAGATCAGTGGCAAAAGTGTAAATAATGACAGTTATTTTTGTAAATAACGGCAACTTTTGCCTCGTTGGCATTCTTTTTTAATGGCATTTTTGTTATTATGATTTTCTGAACAAAGCATTAAGGGGGTATTTTGGGAGTTAAAAAAAAATAAAAACACTCTAGTTATTATTAAAAGATATGAGTTATTCTAGTTATTAATCTCCATATATAGGTCATTCTAGTTATTCTCCCTAATTTGATATATGGACAAATTTACTCTTTAAACCAAATTAATATATTAAATATTAATTTGTCTAGTGGAAGAGTGGCCCTGTTGGTCTAGGCCAGAGATCGATTCTCCCAGACGCAGAATTGCTCAGCTTTATCTCTTTGGCCACATGGGTATGAGCTCATTGTTTACGGACCATTTAAAAACCTAGGGGCGACCCTACCCGTGGGACATCCTCTCCCCAGAGATTAGTCCTAGACCCTTCCATAGGTCTGGGGATTTACCCTGAGTTATCAAAAATATATATATATATTAAATATTTAGTTGATTGAAAATATGTAGTTTTAAGAGTACAATTTGAGAAATGAGTACATTTAGTTTTTGTGAAGAGACGAGAGGACAAATTTACTCTTTAAAACAAATTAAGATATGAAATATTGAGTTGATATAAAATTTTAAATTTATTATTTTACTTGTAGAAACTTTACCGTCTAGTGTCCACGTAAATCATATATCAACGAAGAGAATCATTCACCAGAAATAAAAACAATATATCATCTACGACTACGATATTCATCATTTGTCTACTATATACCCGGTATTTTCCAATATACTCATCCAAAATACACCATTGAAAATCATCTACCATATATCAAATATTCAAATATATATATTTTTAAGATGATTTTTCTTTCTATGATGCAGTAGAACTCGCTACAAGATTCATAACCCGACCATCACTATTGTTGCCATCACTTTTTGTTTTCAACTGGAGAGAAATCATATTCTACTATTTTAAACTTTTTTTTAATTCATATCTAAGATATTTGAATCTGAAATACTTTTTTGGTGCTTGAGAAATTTTGTATTATAACGACAAAAGAAAAAAATCATAAGGAAATCATCTTAACTTTTTCTTCTGATTTTGTTTATGGCTGCTAAAATCGAAAACTGCTCTTGTTTTTGATCCTTTGGGGTATGAATATTGTGCTTGCTCACAATGTAGCTCTCACATCCTTTCTTACCCACATCAAACTTGGGCAAACCCAAAATCATATCCGTTGACTGCATCATACAATATCGAGCTCTAGTATCTCTATGTCCAAGCCTTTGATGACATAATGTTGCAACTTCACTCTTGACCACCAATGTCGTTTCTTCACTTGAAGACCATTGAATAGATCTCGATATTGTATGATGCAGCTCCTTTGCTTAAAATCCAACTTGATCCATTTGCAATTGTCTATGGGCAATGATAACAACGTGATTAAACGGCTTTAAGATCTTGAAGCTGCCATTACTCCAACGCAATGACATTTTAGTCTATTAACAGCATCGCCATGTTTCGTATTTGTCACATTTTCACGGTAAGCAAGGTCAATAAACTCTCCACTATATCAAAAAAGAAAGAGCAAATTTGCTCAGCTTAAAAAAACAAAAAAAAATTGCTCAGCTTATTATAAACCCTAGAACTATATTCTTTTCAATATTTGTGATAGATTTTTTCGTTTAATCTGTTCAGCTTATTATAAATACAACAAATGAGAAGGATATTTGAGGAAGGTTGTTTCTTTTTCTTACATGAAAACATAGTTTTGACCGGACCAGAACAAATGTAACAATTTTTATCATCCAAATCTAGTTTAATAATTAAGAGTAAACAGCTACAAAAATGGTTCTTCTTTTTCTTCTCCATATGCATTTTGTCTCTACCTAAAATATTCTTCATTTCATTTTTCTCCTCTTCTTCAGTTACATTTGTTGCTGAGAGTCACAGTATTGTGGATACTTACACTTGCAGGGATGATTTCTCACCTGCAAAAAGTTTGAATCTCTTGTCTCTCAATATCGCCACAAGATGCATATATGGGTCACAAGATCGCCCAAAAACTATGTTTTACCTTACGTATTGTGAAAGATACCCTTCTAGAACTTCTTCTGATCACTTTATCCTTCACCTTGTCAATCTATTAGAGCACAGGAAAACGGTTAGCAATTGGAAGATAATGCAGTAAGAGTTATCCTGGGGAGAGCGAAGGAGAGATCGAAATGAAGAATACCAACCTTGTGATGTGGAATGTAGTGATTCCAAGCATAGCGTGCTTCACCGGATAATAAGAGCATAGACCGAGGAGGAAGATATAAGGCCTTTTTGATGCAAGAGGAGTCACCCGACTTCTCAGCATCGGCAGATGAGGCTTTCCATGTGGAAACAGAGTATCTTCTGAATTCCATAATACAAGGACCAGCTAAAGAAAGGCTGAAAATGCAATCTTCAAATGCTGAATGTGTGTCAATGTGAGGCGATAAACCCACACCAGATGGGTACTCATTTACCTAATATTCACAAGAATTCCTCATCCTTCAATGTAGCTAAAAACATTTTAACAGAATCTTAATCTAGTATAGAGTGTGCAATGATGTACCGTTAATTGGTCCAAATTTAAGCATGACGGGTCATTGTCAAGGTTCGGGAATAAAGAGATTCTTTCAAGTATAGGAGAAACAAACGATGGAAGCTCGCCAAGACGCTTCTTGGTATCAACATTTCTTGTCACGTAACAAAACTCATATCCATAGTGTTGAACACGCCGTTTAGCAAGACCAATCCAAGGCCGAGTATCAACAGCTGCAAGCAATTGCTAATAAAGACATAAACAATAAGTAACACAAGTGGTAAGAAAAAAGAAATCAAATGCCTACACAACATAAGCACATTACACAATACCATGTACCTGTTCTTCTTCCACACTAACAAAATCAGGTAACAAGAAAAGCCCTGGGATATTCAACTCTGAATCAACCAAAGACACTGGAACACAATCATTCACCTGCATCTACACAAAACATAAAAAGGCTCATTGCAAGCAGATACCAAACAAACATAAAGTTTCTGTCTTTTGGTAAAGATCAAAACTTTGAAACATAAAGATCAAAACTTTGATTCTTGAAATGTGAAGTACCTCGGAAGGTAATTGAAGAACTGAATATCGAATATGCAAAGACCGTCCTTTAAGGTCAGGACATGGTCGACCATTCAAAGCTTCTAAAGCTGATTTCGCCGAACAAGGATCCGCGAAAGAGACGATAACACGAACGCCGCTCTCGTCCGCCGCGTAGACGCCGCTTACTTCACCGAATGCAGCGAACACCGCCGCGATTGCGTCGTGTGATAGTCCAACCGCCGGTCCACAATTGGCGACGTATAGATTGGATGAATTTGATTCTCCGGAATTGGAGGAAGGCGATGATTGCGTCGGACGGACGAATCGCGGCTGAACCATTCTCGGAATAAAAGACTGTAACTTTCTCCGATTGTACAACGGCGAGGTATCTTCGCCGTTAGGTTCAACTGAAAACGACGACGTTTACTTGTGTTATGGGCCTCGTTAGGCCCATTTGACGTTCAATGGCTGAGAAAGGAAAAAGGTGAAGACACTAAAAAGAAAATATATATTTGAGAAAAGAATATCTAGGGCTTCGTCAGGAACCTCCAGAAAAGTGAAACGCAAGGAAATGGTTTTGTAGCAGCCGAAGTAAGTTAGGTTAAATATTGCTACAGTGACTAGATTGCCTGCGAAGTCTGTAATGAAGAGCCACAACAAATAAAGTCCTTTGCCGAATCAAATCTAGGGTTTATTTATTTAGGAGGCGCCATGAAACGTAAGGAGCGAGCTGGTAATAACGAAAACGAGGAGGAAAATGAGAAAGACACAAACCCTTGTAAGTTAGACTTAGATTCGCTCCCTCTTGATTTAAAGATGGTTATATTAGCTAGATTGTCTGCCAAGTCTCTTATGAAGTTGCGACGCGTGTCAAAGACGTGGTCTTCCATCATCCGAAGCCGAGGGTTCATTGATTCCTTCTACTCTATGTCCTCGAAGCAATCGCGGTTTATAGTCGCTTTGAGTAACAGTGTATTCGGCAAGCCTGCGGAGAAACTTACCTTCTTCTTCTCGTTTTCCCACGACGACGGAGATGACTCTTCTTCTTTGCTACCCAACTTCGAGATGGCAATTCCCAACTGCAGCTTTAGTGGCTTCTCATATTTGGCTTCTTTCCATGGCATTCTCGCTGTTAGAGCAGACCATAAGTGGTTGATGTGTAACCCTAGCACGGAGCAATTCGTTAAGTTACCCGCTACCACTGCTTTCGTGGGATACGATCCCATTGATGATCAATACAAAGTATTATCCTGGAATAGAACTAGGTATGGTTATAATGGTCATCTTCAGCACAGGGTATTAACATTGGGAGATGGTGAAGTATGGAGACACATTAAAGATACCCCTTTACCTTATAGGGCGACTCAAACGAATATATGCGTTAACCATTTTCTCTACTATGTTGCTTACTTAACCCAAACTAAAGATATGGACCATATGGTTTTGGTTTGTTTTGATGTTAGATCTGAGAAACTGAGTTTTATCAATGCACCTAACGATGTTGTGAAATGGGAAAGGGAAGCAGTATTCATAGAATACAAAGGGAAGCTTGCTTCCATTGTGAGAGGCCCTTATGATCGTTTCCATAGTTTTGATTTATGGATACTAGAAGACGTCGAGAAACATGAATGGTCAAAGCAAACATGTGTGTTTCCCTCCTCTGTGTGGGATTCTGTTGGAGATATCAAAATGTCTTTTCCAGGCACCAACAAGGCTGGTGAGATCATTATGGCCCCAAAGAGGTTGTCATCCGATTTTCGACCCTTCTACATTTTCTACTACAATGTTGAAACAAAAAACATAAGAAGAGTTAGGCTCCTAGGAATTGGAGACAGTGAAGAGTTTAGGCGCTCTTATGGATTCCAAAGGACCGCCGGCTCCCGTCAATCTCTTGTTCTGATCGCACATCAACACGTCGAGAGTGTTGGCTTTTTTAAGGATCCTAGAATTAATTTAACTTGACTCGAAGGATCCTAATGTAAGAGAGCACTGAAAACGTACGTGCCTTTTATTTTATTTTTACTTTCAGTTTCAATATTTAATCATGTTGATTTTTCAAATTTTCAACACCAAACATAACCCACATCTTGATGAGGATATTCTATTAGCATATTCATGAATGGTTCATGTTGAAACGGATACTGATTTGTATCCAAAGTCATATTTTGATTCAAACTCATATTAGAGATTCCATGTTGAATCTGATTATTAAAATCAACCAGAGCTTGGTATTGAACCGGCTCTTGTTGATTTTGACTCAAATTCATATTTTGATATTGAATATGATCACTAAAGCCAGTAGGGATATAGGGCTGAATCGGCTCATACTGATTCTGATTCATAGGAAGATCAGCACCAGCAACAGCAAGAGGAGCCGCACCCGCAACTGAAGTATGAAGCGGAGGAGGAAAGGAAGAACACTCACCATTTTTCGTAAGTAACTTGATTTTGGAATTAAGCTTATTGATATAGTGATCAATATGAGAACTTAAATCTAGAAGGTCCCTTGCATCATACTGATGCTCACTCATCTTGCCTCCAACACAATCAAACATAAATTGTGTAAGCTGAGATTCTCGTATGGACTGTAGATTACCGCATAAACTTTTGAAAATATCCATTAGTTGATCACTTGTCGAGATATGGGAGACACAAAGCGTGCCAAATTGGATGTTTCACGAGTGAAGTGATAGTTTACAGCTATATGCCTCACTCGGAAATGGAAGATGGGATCACACTAGAGGGTTGGTGACTGTCTTTCCCGATAATCGCTTTTTCTTTTGTGAAAGGTTTTGGACCTTTTGGTTCCAAGAAAATAGTAGTAGATTGTAGTGTTTGAGTAAAGTGCCTTCTAAATCAAGGAGAAGTATCAGATCACACTCAAGGCTATAAAGAGTATTGATGTTTTTGAAAATAATATATAAAAAGTAAGATTTTGTTTGAAACAAAATTCTATATATGTGACATGATCTATTTAGTTATAAATGTATATAAAGAACAAAAAAATATTTGAATTAATCGGGGGAGACCCTCTCATTCACCAAAAAAAACAAAAGGAACAAAAAAAATTAAAAATTATTTGTGACCAAACTTCTTCAAATATAACTGAAATTTCCGGCTCTACGGCTCAGAAATACATTACATGATAAATAAATAAAAAACTGACTTAAAGGTAAAACCTTTAACTCTTACAACAATTAATTGAAAAGAAAAGAAAAATTAAAAACTTGTCTTTTGAAATGAACAAAGACAAATGCAAATACTGAAACACATCACTTAAAAGTCTCCATCTCCTGATTAAAGATAATTATTGATGGAAGGAGCACAAACATCGGTGGGGCTGGTGGTGGTGGTAGTGGTGGTGGTGGTGGTGGTGGTGGTGGAAGGGATGTGTGCATGCTCTCCAACATAACCCACTTGTTGATGAGGATATTCAATCAACATATTCATGAATGGGTCATGTTGAAACGGATACTGATTTGGATCCAAAATCATATCAATAGGAGCCTGGTATTGAGCCGGCTCTTGTTGATTTTGATTCAAATTCAGATTTTGATATTGAATATCATCACTAAAAACAGTAGGGATATAGGGCTGAACCGCAGCTTGATCTGTAACAACAGGAAGATCCGCAACAGCAAGCGGAGGAGGATAGGAAGAAGAAGACTCACCATTTTCAGTAAAGAGCTCGATCCTGGCATTAAGCTGATTGATATATTGATCAATATGAGAACTTAAGTCATGAAGATCCCTTGCATCATACTGATACTCACTCATCTTGCCTTTAACACAATCAAACATAAATTGTGTAAGCTGAGATTCTCGGTTTTCAAGACGTAGACGCTCCAGTTTCTTTGTCTCTTTGGTAATTCTGCCCTGCAAGAAGGTCTCATGATTCACCATCAGCTTGGATTGTTCTGTCACCGGCATCTCCATAAACTTCGAAACCACCTCTTGAACACCTTCGGTTGACGGCCACACCGCTGGATTCTCGTACGGACTGTAGATTACCGCACATGCTTTGACGTCGCAGAGAGTTGTCAGGTCATGGAGTTTCTTCGTTATCCCTCCCTTCCTCTTCTTGAATGTGGTTCTCCTTATGTTGTTATCAGCTATGAGTGATAACTTAAGTTTCGACTTCATAATCTTTGTTTTTCTTTTCTTTTGGTGTGTGTTTGTTTAGTTTCTTGGCCCAAGATTTGTTTATATAGTGATGAAAAGGGTGATTTTTACTAAGTATATGGCTTATCACGTTGTTGGACTCATTAATTTGAAGTTACAGCATTAAATTTTTGTTTATTGTCTTATTAATTGACCAGGCCACTAATTATAGCTATGACTAAGAATAGATTTTCTTTTCTTTTTACTAAGAATAGTTTATTTTCGTATATTACTCTCACTTTTCTTATAAGAGTAATTTCAAGCTTTGTTCATAAACTCTGAAATTTTGTAAAATATTTGAAGTGTTTTTTTTTTTCATTCTAAATAGAGTACTATATCTTCAATTTACATGTAAAATCATGAATATATAAAATCCCTGTAACTTTTTTTATCTATAGTAAAATTATTTTGGGAAATAATTTAACGTTAGGCTCACGAAATATTTAGAACGTACGAAATTTTTGAAAACAATGTAACGTGGATCTCACGAAATATTTAAATCATGTGTTCTAAAAAAAGCTAAAGCATAAATTTTTTTTTAAAAAAAGATAATAAATATCATTAAAATATATATTAGATTTATTAAAAAAAATCTATGTATAAAATTTGATACCTACAATAATAATAAATGAAAATAATAGTAAATTATTAGAGAAAATTTTCATTATAAAATCACATATTTAGTTACATGGAATAAACTTTTTAATATATATATATATAAAAAACATATGTCAGGGCCGGAAGCTCCATCGAATTTTGTTTAGTGAATAAGTTAATTTCGATTAAAAGGAAACTTGGGTAAAATAACCGTTTCATAAATTAAAATATAGATTTTTTTCCTTCTTTTGACTTATACATTGACTATTTATATCATTTTAGAGATAATTTTTGAAACCATGCATATATTATACCTTTTGGGGAATCCTTTTTGGTTTATTCATTGCACTGCCAACTAATTATGAGCTGTAAATAATTGAAATTAAAGATTTTACACTAAGTTTATAGCACCTCCAATGGTTTTACATACCCAAAGGAGTATCTCAATTTTAAAGTATTAATATTTTAATATAGTTTAATTGTATATTTAATTTTTAATTTAAAACGAAAATAAACCAATTAAAAAGAGACAAGTGTAAATAGAGGTTTTAGTTAGTATTTCTAAAGTTCTTATTTAAGAATCTTTCTCTACTTTCTCTCTCATATTTTTTTTTTAATTATGATTATAATGGGGGAGTATCCAAAAAATAAGATACTCCAATGGAGGTCTTACAATATCCAAAAAACAAAAAAAAAAACAAGAATGCACATTGGTAGTTATATTTCTATATACAAAATATTGAATTTTTTTCTAAAATAAATAGCATATTTATTGGTTTTTTGAATTTTTTAAAATAGTTACAAAGATACTATATAGTAGAACATTTTACATGAGAGAATGATAAATAATTCAATCCAATCATAGCTTAATTTTTTTTTTTCCATTGACGTGCTTGCTAGCTTAATTCCCTTTCTCTTTAAATATTAAAGTTTATTACTGTATGTTTTTTTTTATATAATAAATAACTTTCATGTGCCATAAAAACACTAATTTCTGTTTATTTATATGCCTAATTAGGGATGTCTTAAACTATTTATAGCCTTATAGGTCATGTTCAAAAGTTTAACTATAGAAATCTTGAATAAGGTCCATATCTAATTTAATTCTATGTCTTCTTTTTTTTCAGACAAGAACTGTTTTAGGTAACAGGATCCGTTTGATCTCTATACTTGCACATGCTAAAGAAAAACCATAGTCTAGTCGATTCTTATTTTAATGTTGTATAATTAAGCATAATTGGTCTTTAAAAATATATTGTGTTAGTATTGGATCGCGCACTTGAATCCAACCCGAAAATGCTCATTAGTGTCGGGATGATAGACGAAGTAAATCCTAGTTGAAATAGAACTCTAGGAAGCCCAATGGTGGAGCTTGCCATTGTGCTATAAAGTGTTGATGAATACTTATTAGGTAATAGGTACAAATGGAAACATTAAGGCTTGTGTTAGTTTCATGCAACTCTTTGGCCCATAATATATACATATCCTAAATACAATCCTTCAAAAGAAGACTTCTTGGACTCCAATCTTGCTAGTGACTTCATGGAAGCGGGCTCAAGGTAGTGGCTTGGTGAAAATATCTGCTAGTTGATCATTTGTCGAGATATGGGAGACACAAAGCGTGCCGAATTGGATGTTTCACAAATGGAGTGGTAGTTGACAGCTATATGCTTCATTTGGTATGGTATTTGAAATGGATTCTAGTAACCAAATTGAGATTTAAATCAGATTTCAACAAAATAGTAATTGAAATGGATTCTAGCCTAGTATAAATAGAGTATGGTTTTGGACCTTTTGGTTCCGAACTTTCAATTCAAATCTAATATTTAATCACATATACCTTTTCTTTTTTAAATATCTCAGTTTTTAATTTTTTTTTTTTTCTTCAGAAGAGCCAAATCAGTTTAAACCATATTCAATCAGAATACAGTTTTAGATCAGTTTTTACCGGTTTGCGGTTTGGATCGATTTCAGACAATGGATCTTAACAAAATAAAAAAAATAAAAAAAAAAAGAGAAAAACAAGAACACTAGTCTATGCATAAGTCATAACAATTATTTATTTAAAGGGTTGAAAAGTATTCAGATCTAATACAAAAATCTAAAAGATTTTTTTAGTATTAAACAAAACTAAAGTATTTGAGCTGGATCTAAAAAACAAAATTGAGACGACGATGAAAACAATACACCAATAAAGAGTATCCTAACTTTCACCGAAAAATAACAATTTATAGAGGAACTGAATAAAGGTTTAAGAGAAATATGAGGATTTGTTGTAGGGAGATCGAAGACAACATGAGAAAATAGTGTGCTTATATACACATGAGAGGGTGGCAAAAGGTAAGACCAAGAAATATGAGAAATAATGGAAAGCTAGCTATAGATTGAGAAAGAGATATATATGACCAAGAAATAAGAGTTGAAGAGGCTTCGATATTAAATATTAAAGGCTAATAAATCTGAAATTGATTGTGCATATTATGTATTGATGTTTTGCGAATAATATATCAAACATAAAAAATCACAAAATATTCTGTTACTAATTTATATTTTACATTTTATGTTGAATTTTATTATATAAGTTTTACCATAGTCAATGGCTTCAAGGGTATGAAGATTATTGGCAGATCTATTTAGTTATGTTTTTTCGTCAAACAATCTATTTAGTTATGTATTAAGAACAAAAAACTAGTAAGAAAATTTGTGATCAAATTTCTTCAAATATAATTAAAATTTCCGGCTCTACAACGCAGAAATGCATTACATAATACATAAAAATAGAACTGAATTAAAGGTAAAACCTTTAACTCTTACAACAATTAATTGAAAAGAAAAGACATAATTAAATACTGGTCTTTTGAAATGAACAAACACAAATGCAAACTACTGAGACACATCACTTAAAAGTCTACATCTTTTGATTAAAGATGATTATTGATGTAAGGAGCAGAAACATCGGTGGTGGTGGTGACGGTGGTGGTGGTAGTGGTGGTGGTGGCAGGCATGTGACCGGTGGTAGTAAGACCAACAGTTGGTAGTTGGTGGTAGTTGTAGTTTCCGTCCATGAAAGGGATGTGTGCATGATCTCCAACATAACCACCCACTTGCTGATGAGGATATTCCATCAACATATTCATGAATGGGTCATGTTGAAACGGATACTGATTTGGATCAAAACTCATATTCTGATTCATATTCATATCATAGGTTCCATGTTGAATCGGATTATTAAAATCAACAAGAGCTTGGTAGTGAACCGGCTCTTGTTGATTTTGATTCAAATTCATATTCTGATATTGAATATGATCACTTAAACCAGTAGGGATATAGGGCTGAACCGGCTCATACTGATTCTGATTCATAGGAAGACCTGCACCCACAACAGCAAGAGGAGCCGCACCCGCACCCGCAACTGAAGTATGAAGAGGAGGAGGAAAGGAAGAAGAAGACTCACCATTATTTGTAAGTAAGTTGAGCCTGGACTTAAGCTTATTGATATAGTGATCGATATGAGAACTTAAATCTTGAAGGTCCCTTGCATCATACTGATGCTCACTCATCTTGCCTCCAACACAATCAAACATAAATTGTTTAAGCTCAGATTCTCGGTTTTCACGACGTAGACGCTCCAGTTTCTTTGTTTCTTTGGTAATTCTGCCCTGCAAGAAGGTCTCATGATTCATCATCCGCTTGGATTGTTCTGTCACCGGCCTCTCCATAAACTCCGAAACCGCCTCTTTAACACCTTCGGTTGACGGCCACACCGTTGGATTCTCGTACGGACTGTAGATTACCGCACATGCTTTGACGTCGCAGAGAGTTGTCAGGTCATGGAGTTTCTTCGTTATCCCTCCCTTCCTCTTCTTGAATGTGGTTCTCCTTACGTTGTTATTAGCTATGAATGATAACTTAAGTTTCGACCTCATTTTCTTTGTTTTTCTTTTCTTTGGTGTGTGCTTGTTTAGTTTCTTTGCCCAAGGCTGTTTATATAGCAAAGAGAATGGTGATTTTTACTCAGTATGTGGCTTATCATGTTGCTGGACTCATTAATTCGAAGTTACAATATTAATTTTTTGTTTACTGTCTTATTAATTGACAAGGCCACTAATTATAGCTATGACTAAGAATAGATTTTCTTTTCTTTTTACTAAGAATAGTTTATCTTCCTATATATTACTCTCACTTTTCTTTTAAGAGTAATTTCAAGCTTTGTTTATAAACAATGAAATTTAATAATATTTTGAAGTGTTTTTTTTTCTTTTTAAATATTACATCTTCAATTTACATGTGAAATCATAAAAATATAAAAGCTCAAAGAAATTGTTTATTTATAGTAAAAAAATTTGAACAGAATGTAACGTGAGTCTCACGAAATAATTAGAACCCGCGAAATTTTTTGAAAACAATGTAACGGGGATCTCACGAAATATTTAAAACGTGTATTCTAAGAAAATCTTTAAAATACCTATATACATTAAAGGGAAACATACAAAGAAAAAAGTTTGTAAACTAATAAAATAAGATAATAAAATATCATTAAACTATATATTACATTTAGTGTGTATATATATATATATATATGAATATAATAGTAGAGTATAAGAGAAACTTTTTTATGTAAAATCACAGATTTAGTTATATGAATAAAAGTTTTAATAAATGTATTAAAAAACATATGTTTTGGCCGGAAGGTCCATCTAATTTCGTTTAGTCAATAAGTTGATTTCGATTAAAAGGAAATTTGGGTAAAATAACCGTTTCATACATTAATGTATGGATTTTTCCCTCTTTTTACTTATACATTAATATGACTATTATTTTATAGATAATTTGTGAACTCATACATATATTATACCTTTTGGAGAATCAATTTTCTATATTTGGTTAAAATATCCACTGCACTGCCAGCTAATTATGAGCTGTATATAGTGAAATTAAAGATTTTACAATAGGTTTAAAGAACCTCCAATGGTTTTACATTCCCAAAAAGAGTATCTCAACTTTAAAGTATTAACATTTAAATATAGTTTAATTATAAATATATAATTTTTAGTTTTAAAAACAAAAAATGAACCAATTAAAAAGAGACAAGTGTAAATAGAGATTCTAGTTAGTATACCTAAAGTTCTTATTTAAGAACCTTTCTCTTCTTTCTCTTTCATACTTTTTTTTTAATTATAAGTATAATGGGGGAGAATCCAAAAAATAAGATACTCCAATGGAGGTCTTACAATATCCAAAAGAAAAGAAAAAAACAATAATGCACATTGTTAGTTATATTATCTCTTCTTACTAATTACATTTTTAAAATATAGATATTTTCTCTAAAATAAATAGCGTATTTAGTGGGTTTTTTTAAATGGTTACAAAGATACGATATAGTAGAAGCTATTACATGAGAGAATGGTAAATAATTCAATCCAATCATAGCTTAATTTCCTCTCTCTTTAAATACTTCCATGTACCATAAAAACACTAATTTTCATGTTTATTTATATGTCTAGTTAGGGATGTCTTAAACTCAGGGCCGACTCAAACTTTTTAAAGACCTTGTGCTGATTTATAAAAACTGGCTTTAGTTATACTGTTTTTTAATTACTGAAATTTGTAGACCCTAAAACCTCAAGTAAAATTGAAAAAAAAAATTGAGGACCCTGTGCTTTTGCTCCTCTGGCACACCCCTAGAGCCGGCACTGCTTAAACTACTTATAGCCTTATAAGTCATGTTCAAAAGTTTAACTATAGATATCTTAAATAAGGTCCATATCTAATTATATGAATATTGTTATAAAAGTCGTAAAAAGGAGGAATCGTAAAGTCGCGAAAAGATGCGCACATGGGTAAAACATTTTGTTTATTAATTTGTGTGGAGCCCACCGTCACTATGCACGCATAGTAATTTACTTTTTTTTACGTCTATATAAACGAACGATCGTTCGTTGTAAAATCACAATTCGATTACTTCAAATATAAGAGAAGTAACAAACATCTCTCTCTCGTCTCTTTACTATTCAGTATCCTGATCCTTCTGCGGGTATAAAATTTCTCTCTTATTTATTATTTATATTCACCATAAAATAAAGTAATTATTTATAACACGTTATCAGCACGATCACTCTATGATCGCTGAAAAAAAATACGGTATTATACCGGGCGGTATGTCGCCTCGTTAAAAGAAAAAAATATGAGAATGAGAAAAAGAAAAAAAAAGAAAAGAGAAAAAGAGAAAAGAAAATTATATAAATAAATAAAAGAAACTATATATGTATATATATGTTACTTCATGCACCATAATTAATTATTTTCTGTTAATGGTTGGCTGAGCCACCTGAAATTTTATTCACTGCTTTAAATATTTATTTCTGCTACCGGTCGGCTGAGCCGCCTTAATTTTATGCACTGCTTTAAATATTTATTTCTGCTACCGGTCGGCTGAGCCGCCTTAATTTTATGCACTGCTTTAAATATTTATTTCTGCTACCGGTCGGCTGAGCCGCCTTAATTTTATGCGCTGCTTTAAATATTTATTTCTGCTACCGGTCGGCTGAGCCGCCACATATTTATTTACTGTTTTTATGTGGATGACTCCGTGACCATAATATCACCGTGAATTATTTGTTTATATTATGATTATTATACAAGAAGGTTTATTTAACAGTATAAATATTTTTATCTGAATCGATAATTTTTATCTGATTGATCTCTAATTTTTCAGATTAATTTTTGTTTAATTTTTTTCACCAACGGTCATGAAGAAAAAATTTCAAAATTTTATCACTTTTCAAACGGCTATGAACAGTAATTTTCAATCTATAAATACACTCATTTTCACTCATTCATTCACTCAAAAATCATATCTCTCCTCATATATTTTTCTAAGAAATTTGTTTAAGTTTTCATTTTGGAAAATGACTCATCCGTTTTTAGTTTTTGTAATAGGCTTTATAATTGTTGCAATTTACGGTTTACTCTTTGGAGAATTTTCTCCCGAAGAAATTTTGATGGTTATTATTTTACTTTTTTATGTAATTGTATTTCTTGTAATCGCATTGCTTATATAAGCACATCCCATGCTCTAAAATGAAATAAATTAAAATTCTAATAAAGTTCTTTGTGATTTTATTTTAGATATCTAATGGCAAGCATTCAGAAGCTTATGTTTCCAGCTCTAGACATCACTTTGGTCAATTATATATTTTGGATTGCCAACGTCGAATTACATTTACAATCTCTTGGCTTAATAAATACCATAAAAGAGAATAATACTTCGACGGTTCAAGAAAGGGAAAAATCGGTGATCTTTATTTTAAGACACCTTGATGAAAGTATCATATGTGATTATGCACACATAAAAGATCCCAAAGAGATCTGGGAATCCCTAAAAGCTCGATTTGATAATCGAAAGGCAATAAATCTCCCACTTGTTCGGGATGAATGGCAAAGTCTAAAGTTCAAAGACTTTGATAAAGTGATGAATTATAATTCCGCTATGATGGAAATTGTGGTTAAACTGAAATATTATGGTGATATTATCACTGATTCTCAGATGCTTGAGAAAACGTATACCACGTTTCATGAAAACCACATTACCCAGCAAAAACTGTATATGTCATACGGGTATACCGAATTTTCGGATTTATTTGTGGCACTCCTAATAGCGGAAAAGATTAATGAGACCGCTCATGCGGTTAACTAAAGAGCTTGTATTGAGACTGCTGAAATAGTCTCTAGTTATGCCATATATGTATAATATTACGCTTTTATTATTTTGAAAAATAATGTTGTTTTAACAACAATTTAATGTATAATTATTGTGTGTTTTCCTTTTATAAAATTTACTTTCTTTATGTTTATCTTAATCACAGAAATGGATGAAACAATCTCCAAGGAAATGGCTCAAGAAATTTGTATACCAGATAGTGGAACAACACACACTATTCTGAAGGACAAAAGATATTTCTCTAACTTAAAACCGACAAACGTTATTGTCAATACAATATCAGGTCCTGTAGACGTGATTGAAGGAACTGGTATGGCCAACTTTATGTTGCCTAATGGAACCAAGTTTTCCATAAAAAATGCCTTGTATTCTCCAAACTCTAAAAGGAATTTGTTGAGTTTCAAAGACATATACCTTCAAGGATATGATACTCAGTCTGCAACTGAGAATGAAAAGAAGTATATGTACATAACTTCTGATAAATCGGGAAAAAGGCTTATATTGGAAAAATTTCCAAAACTCCCTTCAGGATTGCATTATACTCATATAAGTGCAATCGAATCGCATCTAGTGATTAAAAGAAATCCAGAAGATTTCGTATTATGGCATGATCGCCTTGGTCACCCAGGCACCACAATGATGCAAAAAATCATAGAGAGCTCACATGGTCACTCATTAAAAAATCATGAGTTGAATCATGGAAATAAAATGACATGTGCAGCGTGTTCTCTTGGAAAATTGATCATAAGGCCATCGCCAACCAAAATTGATAAAGAATCACCAAAATTCCTTGAACGAATTCAAGGAGATATTTGTGGACCAATACATCCACCATGTGGACCATTCCACTATTTCATGATATTAATTGACGCATCCAGCAGATGGTCACATGTTTGTCTATTATCATCTCGAAATATGGCATTTGCGAGATTTCTAACTCAAATAATCAAACTGAGGGCTCAGTTTTCTGATTACCCTATTAAAAGAGTTAGACTAGACAACGCTGGTGAATTCACATCCCAAGCATTCAATGATTATTGTATGGTAACGGGAATTGAAGTTGAACATCCTGTAGCTCATGTTCATACACAAAATGGCTTGGCGGAATCATTAATTAAACGTCTGCAATTGATTGCAAGACCATTGATCATGAGATCAAAACTTCCAACCTCTGTATGGGGACATGCCATTTTGCATGCAGAAGCACTCATTCGGATAAGACCAAGTGCATATCATAAATATTCCCCATTACAACTAGTATTTGGTCGTGAACCAAATATATCCCATCTAAGAATTTTTGGTTGTGCAGTGTATGTGCCTATAGCACCACCACAACGTACAAAGATGGGACCACAAAGAAGGTTGGGAATATATATTGGCTGTGACTCTCCATCAATTATAAGATACCTAGAACCGCAGACTGGTGATGTTTTTACGGCACGTTTTGCCGATTGTCACTTTGATGAGAAAGTATTCCCGGTTCTAGGGGGAGAAAATAAGCAAGTAGGAAAAGAAATTAAATGGTGTGTACCATCCCTGTTACACCTTGATCCTCCTACAAAACAGTCAGAAATAGAAGTTCGACGAATTGTGCATTTGCAAAGTATAGCAAATCAACTTCCCGATGCTTTTGCAGATACCAAAACGGTAACTAAATCATATATACCAGCTGCAAATGTTCCTGCTCGAATTGAAATACCACAAGAAAGTGGAAGAGCAGATGATACACGTGAGTCTAAAACACGCTTGAAACGTGGTAGACCAGTTGGTGCTAAGGATAAAAATCCTAGAAAACGAAAGGAAGTTGAAAAGCATGATATTCCCAAAATAGCAGAAAGCATTTTGGAAGAAACGAATCATGAGTCTAATGACAATGATGAGCATCATGAGCCTGAAGGAAATCATGAGATTTCTATCAACTATATCCATAATGGAAAGATCTGGGATCGAAATAAAATGGATGAAGTTAATGACGCTTTCTCATACCTTTTGTCAAAGGAAATTGATGAAGAAAACGAGGATCCAGAACCAAAGTCGGTATATGAATGTCAAAAGAGACATGACTGGATAAAATGGAAAGATGCAATACAAGTCGAACTTGATTCGCTCAATAAGCGAAATGTATTCGGACCTATTGTACTCACACCTGAAGATGTGAGACGGGTTGGATACAAATGGGTTTTCGTTAGAAAACGAAATGAGAAAAATGAAATTACGAGATACAAGGCTCGTCTCGTAGCTCAAGGTTTTTCTCAAAGACCCGGGATTGATTATGAGGAAACATATTCCCCCGTTATGGATGCAATAACGTTTAGATTCTTGATGAGTCTAGCGGCTGATGAAAATTTAGAAATGCGTCTCATGGATGTTGTTACGGCATATTTGTATGGATCATTAGATACAGATATCTATATGAGAGTTCCCGACGGGTTTAATATGCCAGAAGCATTGAAATCTAAACCAAAAGAGTTATGTGCAATAAAGTTGCAAAGATCATTATATGGGTTAAAGCAATCTGGGCGAATGTGGTATAATCGCCTCAGTGAACATTTAACAAAAGAAGGATACGGGAACGATCCTATATGCCCATGTGTTTTCATAAAGAAAACAAATTCCGGATTTGTGATAATCGCGGTATATGTTGATGATCTAAACATAATCGGGACTCAAGCTGAAATACAGAAAGCAACAAACTATTTAAAAGGGGAATTTGAGATGAAAGATCTCGGACAAACAAAATTTTGTCTTGGCCTACAAATTGAACATACTCAAAAGGGTATATTTGTACATCAATCCACATACACCAAAAGAGTGTTAAAACGCTTTAATATGGATAAGGCAACTCCTCTCAGTACTCCAATGGTCGTTAGATCACTTAATGTTGAGAGTGATCCATTCAGACCACCTGAAGAGAATGAAGAGATACTCGGTCCTGAAGTACCATATCTAAGTGCAATTGGAGCCCTTATGTATCTTGCAAATTGCACTCGACCTGATATATCATTTTCAGTCAATCTTCTGGCTAGATTTAGTTCATCTCCTACACGAAGACATTGGAATGGGATTAAACATGTCTTTCGTTATCTTCAAGGGACTATTGATTTAGGGTTATTTTATCCTAAAAATATAAATGGTCAAATGATTGGTTTTGCAGATGCAGGATATTTATCAGATCCACATAAAGCCCGATCACAGACTGGATACGTCTTTACGATCGGAGGCACTGCTATATCCTGGCGTTCCCAGAAGCAAACGCTTGTGGCTACTTCTTCAAATCATGCTGAAATCATTGCATTACATGAAGCAAGTAGAGAATGTGTATGGTTGAGATCAATAAGCCAACACATTCAATCAAGCAGTGGGATCAACGTAAACAAAGAGCCAACCATCCTATATGAAGATAATGCTGCATGCGTTGCCCAAACAAAGGAAGGATATATCAAAAGTGATAGAACCAAACATATCCCTCCGAAATTCTTTTCATACACCCAAGAACTTGAGAAGAATAAAGACATTGAAGTCAAATATGTCCGATCATGTGACAATGCTGCAGATCTCTTCACAAAATCACTACCTACCTCGGTGTTCAAGAAGCATGTATATGCTATCGGAATGCGCCATCAACGTGATCTGTAAAGTTAATCACTCGAGGGGGAGACTACGTCGTTGTACTCTTTTTACCTACTAAGGTTTTTCCCACCGGGTTTTCCTAGAAAGGTTTTTAACGAGGCAACAGAAGATATTACGCAAGAGACATAGTGACACTGGTCTCCAAGGGGGAGTGTTATAAAAGTCGTAAAAAGGAGGAATCGTAAAGTCGCGAAAAGATGCGCACATGGGTAAAACATTTTGTTTATTAATTTGTGTGGAGCCCACCGTCACTATGCACGCATAGTAATTTACTTTTTTTTACGTCTATATAAACGAACGATCGTTCGTTGTAAAATCACAATTCGATTACTTCAAATATAAGAGAAGTAACAAACATCTCTCTCTCTCGTCTCTTTACTATTCAGTATCCTGATCCTTCTGCGGGTATAAAATTTCTCTCTTATTTATTATTTATATTCACCATAAAATAAAGTAATTATTTATAACAAATATTTGTTTTTTCACAAGAACTTTTTTTGGTAATCACGATCCGTTTGATCTATGTACTTGCACATACTAAAAAAATATGTGACGCGGGGCTTAGGCTCAGTGGGCTAGTCGGATCACAGTGTGGTCTGGACACTGGGTTATCAAAAAAAAAAAAAAATATATGTGACATGGCTTCCTAGAGTTCTATTTAAACTAGGCTTCACTTCTTCTACCATCCCAACACTAACGAGCTTTTTTGGGTTGGATTCATTTGCGTAATCCGATACTAAGAATATATATTTGGTGACCAGTTATGCTTACTACATTAAAAGAAGATCGACTATACCGTGGATTTTTTTAGAACGCTAGGAAGCCATTTTGCTATAAAATTCTTGATGAATAGTGATACGAAGGGATCTAGATATTGTAAATTATGAAGCCATGTTAATAATACATTTACAATATCTTAGGCGTCATAATTCAAAACCCTCAAAGTAAAGGAGAAGCTTCAGGTGGCACGCATCGAACTACGAAGACCCTCTAAATCAAGAAGAAGTATCAGAAGGCACTTTACTCAAACACCACAGTCTACTGCTTCTACTTGGAGTTGTATTCACTGAACTTGCCTTAATATCTGCAAACAAAAAATCTAAACCAGTCTCTGTCCCATCGGCTTTGTTCATGTCGTCAGTTAAAGAATGCCTTACACGGGACGAAAGCAAAGGCCTCTCGGGTGTTCTATAAGGGTCACGGGAGTTAGGGAAGCAACTCGGTGGTGCAGGAGAGTTAGGGTTGCTTAAAGAATCTTCTTTCAAGATTTCTCCCATTCTTGAAAGAATCCGGAAAGCTAGATTTGCAAGTGTTCGGGAATATGCCTCAAGAACCGCATGACCAATGTCCTGAAAACAGAGAAGAAAGATTTGTTATCGACAAATAACTGTATTGTAAAGTATGACATGTTTCAGAACATAGGACTAAGAAAGATGTAATAAGTTCTGTTTATGTTTACCTTGCCATATTGGATCTTTGTGGCATCAAGAAACGAGTGAGGGAGATTAGGGTGTTTGGATTTGATATGATTTCTAAGCGCTTCTGCGCGGTTCAAGAGTGACTCATTGCGACCAATTTCAGACAATGGATCTTTAGCGAATGACCACGATGCTCGTACAGGGGATTTACCGCTACTGCCTTGTTCTGTAATCCTTTCCTTCCAAGCAAATATAGCAGATTCTAACTTGTTAACTGTCTCGAGTGCTGCATGTTCAGTTCCCAAATTGAGAGATATAAAGATTTTATCTACTGTGGCAGATTCCACAGCCAACATCTTGTATAGTTCATCACCGAGGCTGTTCTTTCCTGACTGTTACAAAACAAGATTTTAGAGATAGTTGTTACTTACTACATTGTTGTACAATTATGAGTCTAGCACAAGGGATATAAAGTGTGCAAGCTTACTTTGGGTATTGCTTCCTTGATTACAACGGGTACTGGCATTTCAAGAAGAATGTTTTCATTTATGGCTTTTGTAGCTTTGAAGACTTGATAAACAACTTTGCCTTTGTCAAGTAATTTCTTCCTTCCTGAGTTAGAGAGCCCGGGTTTAGGCACTTGTGGCGATGGAAGCCACCATCGCTTGCTCTCGCTTGTAGTCTTGTTCTTACCCTCAGCTCTACTACCAATCTCAGAATACCAAAACTCTGTGTTCACCATAGAATCCAGTGTCTCCTGTGGAGATTGTAATGCAACTTTAATCATATCAGGAAAAAGAAGAATAAGAAAAGACTAGATTAACAAAAGAGATAAATCGCCTACGATTAGCATGGAGTCCAACTTCTGTAGAGCAGGGAGATTCATATGGATGTCCGCGCGGGCTTTCGGGGTCATTATCTGTTTCAAACAAGGATTCAGTTCAGTACCTTCCTCTGGAGTATATCTATTTTTTTAACAGCTTAGCTACGTACCTCAAGTGATCTTCCATTGGCATCATTTTGCTTAGAAGGCACTAACTCAATCATGTAGTTAGTTGGAGAAAGTAGCCAATCCATTTCCCTTCTCCATTTCTGTTTTTTCTCCTCACACAAGGGTTCCAATTTCCAGAGCTCGCCGAAAATCGACGCTGCAAATACAAGAAATTCAGTTACCCTAACAGTTCACAAGAAAACCTCAGAAGAACATAAAGCTTAAGAGTGCTAGGAAATAGTAGAACATACTAGCAAGATGTGTTACAGCATTTGACAAAGCCAAAGCTACTTGGACACCCTTGCATCCCCCAGTGACATCTTCGCCGAGCAATAGCTTAGAAAATTTCTCCTTCATAGCTTCCACATCCAAATGACAATAGACATAGCCTGGCTTCTTCTCCTTACCATCAAAATGTTGAGTACTGCCGTAACCTTGTTTCTTCTCCTTAGCATCAAAATGATGGGACCTTCCAGATAAGTTCAAACCATCGCAACTGTGTTCATCATTCTTCATCGGTAACCATTTTGAAGAAAAAGAGCTAGAGGCATCTTTGCTTGATGAACAGCTTGAAAACGCATCATCATCCAACGAATCAGTCAGGCATCCATCTCCTCGACTTGTTCCGCTTTCTTCTTCATATGATTGATTGTTGATGATACAAGTCTCCAAGCCGTCGTATGTAATCATTCCTGAAAAGAAAGGGATACACAATGTCATCATGGGTAGACCTGAAATAAGCTAAAGTACTTATCTCAAACTTTTCTACTAACATACAATTTTGTCACTTTAAGTTAGATAATTGGCTTAACTTTGAAACTTAACACATTACCCATTTAGCATGTTACTAGCAAAGATAGTACCACAAATCACAGAGCTAAACATAGATCAAGAATCTTTTGCAACAAAATTTCTATTTAAGAAAATATCCAATCCACATGTCAAAACATATAAAAAACAGCAATGATCAGCACTATACAAACACGAATCAATGGCACATAAAGTATATTAGTTTCTTCTTGAATTTATCTTATAAACCCATGAAATATCAAGGAAGTTGTTTAGATTCTTGAGGGTAAGAATAAAAACCTTTAATAAGAGTGGCTTCAAGCTTTTTACAAGAAAGTTCATTATCAATATCTACACCTGGTAAAAAGTTCATTAACCAGACCATGTAAAAAGTTCAACATATATAGACACCAAAACTTACACAAAAGAAAGAGATTGACAAAGGATAGGGGAAGAGAGAAGAGAGGTCAACAATAGAAAAGTAATTAAAAACTACTTATCATTAAGAGACCGTTCAGATTTTGACAATAAAGAAAACCCCACCTTGCACATCTATCTACTTCTTGTCTCACTCATGATGAGAATCAAGAAAATGGTATCACTAGACACGTTATATATGCAGACTAGTGTTTCTCTACAAGAAAAAACAAATGATAAAAAAGGAATAAAAGTCGTTGTGTTCCTCTAGTCTTTAATAGCTAAAGTCAAGACTTTTGTTAACCCAAGACTGCTAAACCTTTTTTTAAAAAATGCTTCCATTCTCAAAAGGAAATGTATAAAAAAACCTCAAAAAAACAATTGAGTTAGTATCCCCATGTGGTGAAATCTCCAAATGGACCCACTACAAAGACTTTTATAACTTGTCACGACATAACATTTTTCAAACGTTCAAAAGCATATAACATAATTGTTTAATCAAGCACCAGTGATTTGATTTAATAATGATATCTACCCCTTGAAATATGAAAGTTATGTTTAGTCTTAATAACCATGTGAAACCAATAAAACTACCTACTCTTGGCAGTTTCTGAATAAATATGATCTTAAACAAATGAAAAAAACCCTCAAATCCTAAACCCCACCTCCTAAGAAACAGGGTTTGGTATAAGATAGGTTATTGAATCATCACATAAAATGCTCTCACATCATATTAAATTAAGGCATTGATGTCTCGTGGAAAGCTACAGACTTCACGCCTTATTTAATACATGAATGACCGGGTTGGTGTAGATCTTTAAAGGGTCTGAATATTGGTCCCATATCAAAACCTAAACCGGTCACAAGAACACTCACTTTTATTTGAAAACTATATACCCAACAGTTATTATAGTCTAAATATTCCATATCATGCCCATAAATGAAATACCTAAAAGCTAAAAAAAACTCTCAAAATTTATACTTTAAGCATCATAAGTGTAAGAATGCAAGAAGAGAGATAGGTTAAATCAGTACTTACTATCTTGTTCATCGAAATCGACACTAATCTCTCTCTCCCTGCTACAGCAAGCTAACCTTCTTCTCATCAGCATCATCCTTTCTTCTTCTTTTTGTGATTCTTTTGTTAGACCAGAGAGAACAAAAGCCAATTTTCCTTTTCTATCTTTATTGCCAAAAAACAAGTCTCTCCTTCTTAATTAGTTGATATTAAATACACCAACCATCTTGTCCCTGCATAGTAAATACACATTAAAGAGATTTTTACAGCCAAGTCAATAAAAAAATGATAACTCATAAAGTAAAGAAAGCTAACAAGAAAATGAGAATGGCATTAAACTTATGTTTGTTCTTAATTATCAACTACAAAGAATCTACAAGACAAACACTATACACCAATGAACAATAGAAGCAGACAAATCATGCACTACATTTTAGAATATAAACTAATCATACACAAAGAGACAAGAAGGAAGAATTTGTTTTCACTGTACAATGAAGATAAGGCAAAACAAAAACTGGAACTGAGTTGTGTTTTTTTTTTTTTAACTAATCAGCTTTTTTGAGGGTACTAATACAACTTTTAAGGAAAGTATAACTAATGATGTTAAACTTTTACTAAAAAGAGGTGCTTTAGCTACTTAAAAAGTCAACAATCTCAAAATTCTTTAACTAATCTCAAAATGAAATCACTAAAAAAAATCTTTAAACAGATTTAACTACAAAAGATGAAAACCTAAACCAAAGAACCCTAACATGGATTTGGCCGATACATAGAACAACAGACCTAAAACCTACACTAAGAAAAACATGAGATAGATTTGGAAGAAAAATTGTAAAGGAATTTGAACACAAACCTTAAGGACTTGCAAGAAAAATCTACAGAGACTGATCACCAGTAGATGTTACTAAATAAAGTAGAATCTGAGCTATAGAAGCATCCACATTCGTCCGTACAGCAACTGTTGTGTAATAACTGAGATGAATTTGAGAAAAGAATGATCGATGGAGGAAGAAGAAGAAGAAGTAGCAGAGGAATGGGTGAGAGAGAACATTTATTGTGGAGGAATATTTTTGTTGACAATGGCAATAATATATTTTTAAAAAAAAATTGAGTTGATGAAATAATAACAGCCGTAGGATCGTTGTTTAGATTATTATGTGAATTTAGACGGTCGTGATTTAGTGAAAGGGTTTGATTTGACAAAAGATAAAATAAAGTGGTCAGGTTTACAAAATTTCAAAACCTATGAACCAGATGGATTGGAACATTAGTAGCGCCGCTGGTGAGAGAAAATAAATTAGTAAAATCTTTTGAAATTCGTGCTAAATATATAAGTATATAACCACATCAATAACATTATAGTAACTATTGAATATAACTCCAGTAGATTATTCAAAATTATAGTAAACGTTAATATTGCTCTGTTCTAAAAGTTTGTTCTTTTTCACGTTTTCGAATTCTAGTAGTTAGTAATAGTTTCGAGAAATTTTTAGAATGAAAAGCACTTTTTCTTTCAAAGAGAAGACATTTCAAACTATTTTTTTATCATACGTATATAGACAAGACCAACTTTGGATTATATCAAAGATTAAACCATGTTTAATGATACACTATCATGTAATAAAACTTTCAATTCTTACTTAAATAAGAAATACAACTGCAGTGAAAAAAAAATACAACCATGACAAAACTGGAAAACCAGAATCATACCCACTTTCAGAGCAATCTCTGCAACTCCATATAAAACCATGAATTCATCAGTCCTCTTCCATTGGTACTTCAGGAATGTCAAACCTGTCTTCTTTAGCCGGTACTGGGGTAAGTGAGTTGCTGTCAAGGAAATAACATAACATAACATACTCAGATTTCTATAATCAGACTCTTAAGGTAATTCTAAAGAGAAATTAGAAGAAAAAAGGATATAGTTATCCAACATAGGATCTTCTTTCTCTCCACGATTTCTGCTATCCTTAAGCTCTCTCAGAATTTCAGGAGTAACCTACAATTAAACATTGAAAACCCGAATAAGTGGTAATCTACAAAACAAAAACTTTTAAATTTTTTAAGGATAGAAGAAGCCTTACAAGATGGTGCTTTTGCCTCTGGAGGAGAGTTTGAAGATGTTCTTTGTCTTCCTTTAGTAATTCATACTTGTACCTGCACATCGGATAAAACAAGAGCTTAGAAAATAACTTTAAAGTTTTTGTTTGATTTGTCAAACTACTTTGTAAGAAGAAAATTACCGTTGCACAAAGGTAAGAAGGGACTGGTGCCAAATCACAGGCATTACTCTTATATCGTCGACAAATCTCATGAAGTGAGCAACCAATGCATCAAGCACTCGATACGGCATAGAATATTTCTTTTCCAAAAGAACTTTTATAAAGTAACTGCGTAGTAAAAGATTATCAGCACATTCTTACAACTAACTATTCAATTGAATGGGAGAAGGCAATCTACTATCTGAATCTCTCTGTTATAGAAGTCAAAAGAATAGTACACGTTTACCTTGTTGTGCCGCAATAATCCATCTCAGCCAGCTTGAGCAAGGCAACACTGTGCAGTTCACGTAAAGATATTTATAATATGCAACGAATAATCTGAAAATTGTAGAAGATGTTCTATTTATGCAATCTTTGTACGCATACCATGAGTGAAGCATAGGGATAGAACACTTTTCAAGAATGCTCCCTATAATTACAGCTTCTCTAAGATTGCATGTCCCCGACTAAATAAAGAAAAATCCAAGGAACTAGTAAGAAAACTAGTCATATTCTGATGATATTACTCAGAAATAGTTAGTGTAGTAAATTCTGGAGGAGGAATATATACCTTACAAAGCGGAAATAGTATCCCTTGATTGAATGCACTAGGCTTGTACAGTGACTTTTTTACAGCCTGGTACAGAGCAAAGTGCAGCTTCTTGTGCTTTCTAATATCCTCTCTCACTCGCGGAAGCAACACATAGTTATAAAACCGTTGAACTTGTCTGTCTTTCAAGTTGGAAGCAAAGATCCTTGTGGCTTGATACAAAGCGTTAGGTGACCATTTCTCTGGCTCGGTCAAGTATAATACATCCTCCCAGTGTTCCATTGAAGTAACAAGCTTAAATGCTTTTGGCAATTTCCCAACTGTATACTCACTCATAAACTTGCCAACACTGCATAAGATCATCTCAGAAACTTGAGAACCGCTTCAAAATATTGGCAGAGCAACGTACAAGGAACTGATAGAACAAAACATTACCCTTTATATAACTTAGTTACCGCAGGATCCATTTTAGGATCGGGACGTTCTTCTGCAACAAAAAGGTATCAACTTCAATATCAGCAAAGACATACAATAATCACACAAAAGCTGCAAAAGCAAAAACACAAAAAATAAAGATCTGTATCAACCTTCAGCTAAGTTAGCATCATTATCTTTGATTTTCTTGATAATGATATCAGCGAGCGTACGTTGAGGAGGAGCATTCTTATTTAAGAATGACTCAAACAACTTCTCATCTTCCTCATTGATCTCCTCCTGATATAAGTTACATCACAATATCAAAACATAAACATGAAAGAATCAATTCTAAATTTTGGCATTGTTATAAGCAATTCAATTTAGAGCTTCCATAAACTAATGCAACATAGAATCAAAAGAGACTATAGAGAATCAAGATGCTCACTTGCTTATCGAATTGGCTCTGGTTATCAAAAGTTCCGTCAAATTCATCAATATCATCTTCTTCCTCCAGAACTCTCTGTTCTTCTCCTGCAGTCGCAGCGCCCGCAACAGCAAAAGCGGCGCTACTAGGGTTTCTCTCAGCGTTCTCTTCATCTGCAACTTCCTTTTGCTGAGCAAGAGCTTGCTTCATGATCTTCGAGCTCATACCAGCTTCAATCAACTGTAAAAATCCCCAAAATATCGATCAATTGAAACATTCTAAAAGCTTGAATTTGAAAAATGATGAGACTCATGAACGCTAAACATTTTGACTCACCTTTTCCTGTTTCTGATGGGTTTTTGGAACCTTTGATCGTTTCCTGGAAGAAGCGACGGAGGCGTCATCGGAGATAAAAGGCTGAGTGTTGACAATTCGATCTCGCTTCTTCGCCATTGTTGGTGAACGAACGATGTTTCCACAGGACGGCACAAGAGAGAAAG